ATGGGGATTCCAAGCGCTGAACTAGAAATTTCCATAGTTTCAAAGCTCTGACCTTGACCGTATTAAAAACATCCCCAATTCGATCGATGACTTGCTTGAACTTCTGGTGACTTGTCCTTCATATCCATCTCTCGGTTACGTTTAGTCTCCTCTAAGTGAGATACGTGTTATGGATGTTGGCCAGTAAGCATTTGAAGGATTTGTTAAGTTTGTTGCACCAAATCTTGAATTACTTGTTTCATCCTATCATAGCTTTTTTCCAAATTGAGCACCTGTTGTGTTTCTTGTCTCTTGTTGGCTCGAAGGGGCTCTTAGTTGTGGTTCTCTTCCTTCAAAATTCATTTGGGAATATTCTCTCTAGAAGGATCATTTTTTTTGATGTCCTTGATCAGGTAGTCCCCATCTGTAGTCGTCTTCAAAAAATTATCAGTTGGTTTCTACGGATGACACCAAACTATTGGTGCAAAATTTTCCCAACTTTTATGGAAGCTGGATAATCGATTGTCCTACTCCTTGTCATCTTTTTGGCTACTTTGATTAGCTTTTTAATGGATGGACTTAGCTCTTTAGGGCTCCAAATGAGATTTTTGCAAGTTGAGAGACCTAAAAAAAAGTCAAAGACTAGAAGGGGAGCTCTGGGGGTCAACCCTCTGATGCTTAAGTCAGTATTTGCCAACAAAGTTCTTAAGGTATGTGTAGGGGTTGAAATTGCATACCTCTAGTGTTTCCCCCATGCTCCTTTTTATAGATGATTATTGGGGATTAGTTTCTAGTCTCCCTCGTTGTTCTGAGAAGTTCAAACTTCTACTGCTTAAGGAGTCTAGAGCTCCTTATTGTTTTAGGACTCCTTTTATTCGGTTTAAAGTACTCCCATGATGGGATTCTGTTCTTCTTATCTTTACAGTAGGCGGGTGAGACTCCTCCATGTCTGGGAGTCTTTGAGTATCTGATAAGGGGATTAAAGAGTTGAGACTCCTCTAATGGCTCCTCTCCCTTTAGGCGTGAACTATAGACTTGACTAAGGAAGATCTTTAATTTTCAAACAGTGGATAATCTTATCTTCAGGATTTCTCTCATATAATAGGTAGGTGGAGGGAGATCTGATTACTAGAATTGGCATTACACAAAGTTTTCGTTGTGCCCCCAGAGCTTGGTAAACTCTCGAACTGTAATTCTTTTGGTGTTGGAACGTTTTAGAGCTTTCTTGAGGATACAATTAATTTTTTCCCACGTCACCTAATAATTTGAAAATATTACAAGATCATCATACTTAATAATTAAGCATCAATATATGAGTAACATTTAATATTTTATATTCTACTCTTTTTGGAGTAAAACTTGATGATGGACAAAGATAAACTCGTTTAGTGCATTCAAATATCATTATAAAAAAAATAACATTTTGGTACTTCTTTGCCACAAGCCTAAGCATCTCAAGGTGTCAAGAAAAAGGTGCTATTAGAAACCCAATGCACTCTCATCTTGCTTGTCAAGTTCAACAATAGTTAGTCATTTCTCTATCAATTGTTAACAAGATTAGATTAATATAACCCTCAAGCTTTGAGCAGAGTTGTGGATACTTGATAAATCATTTCACAGATGTAAACCAATTGTAACTGCACAAATTTTTCCTAGTGCGCCGCAATAATTTTGCTAATATATCTATGTCTTCTTAAGACAAACACATTGAAATAGTCTTGTTACATATAGGGGCAAAATTGCGAACACTTGATCATTCCCAAACTCCATAGTAGTGGAAGACTTGTGCATTGGTTATTAATTAGGTAAAAATTAATTGCACCATTTGGAAAGCTATGCCAAGGGTCACTCATTTAGAGCCTCAAAAACCTCAGAAACCTTGTTTGGAGCCTCAAAGAGCTAATTAAAACAACTAGGAAGCTAACACAAAGGCGAACAAATTCTAGCCTAGCCTATGTGGATGTTGGAATAAATTTTGCACCAAAAGTTTCCGTGCTATGAAGATGGGCATTGATGCAACAATAACGTTGTTCCATTATAAATTAGGTGTCCGTGGTTCAAGTCTATTTCTACCAAATATTGTAAATTCATAAGACGACAATATGTGATATTTCAAAGCAAAAACAAAAACAATAATATGTGACATAATGAATTTAAGCAGTTATGATATGTTAGCCTTTGAGGCTGACATCTAGGAAGTACAGATATGGACACGGGTGTTGAATTGGATACAATACGGGTACAGAGGTACGACATGTATGGATCATGTTTTTAATTGACTAATTTGTGAAGGCTTTTTGTAAATCTCAACTCTCTCCATGGTCATAATGCTATAAAGTAGAATATCTGAAAGCAGTAATATCAAGTGACCCTCCATATACACCTTCTTACTTAGGACAAAGGTAATGGTCTTAGAGAGCTAAAAACTCTTAGTTTAATTTATTTGACTAAGGATGATTAGAGTTAAAATGAAATTGATATGTTTTTATAAAATTGATTGAGCCATAATTGGACCCTACTTGAGCAACACTTTTTGGTGCTCAAGATGATAAGTTTTTTTTTCTTTGTTTTAGGCTTAAAAAACTAGTAGGTACCACCCTATATTTGCTAGCCTTCGCTAGAGAAATATTTGGACACTTAGAGATAAAATCAAAAAATGTTGAATGAGTGCGCAATGGTGATTGCCCTTTGGGTCACTCTAAGGTCGCTCAAGCGGTCTTAAGACGGGTCAAGCAGTCTTGAGGTTACTCAAGTAGTCCCTACACTGTTATAGTTTGAATCATTTTTTCATTCCAGCAACCACCGCCCTCCCACCGGTCTTCCATTGCTTGAGTGATTATTCGCGAATTTATTTATTTTGCTCCCCAAGAAAAACCCTATTATAAGCCTATAAATACAAGGAGCTTTCCTAAGTTAGGGTAGCTTTCATGTGAGCTTATTTCTTGCCTCTAAACCTTGAGAGATCATTGAGAAACCATAGATCCCTAAATCCAAAAGTTAATTCATCTTGTAATTCCTATCCAAACTTACAAATTAGAGAAGAATAACTTTCTTAGTGCTACCAAACCCACTCGTTGAGTGTTCATGTCGAGAATCTTGGGGAAGAAGATTTCTCGAGGCCTAAACGAACCCTGCGACTAGGGAATTCAAGTGAAGCTATCCATAACGTTGAAAAGGTAGTTTTGGTAGAGAGACCTATTAAAGGAAATGAGTGTGTAATTATGGTATTGATTGAGGCATATGACTTGAGTACTTATAGATTGACTTTGATATAAAAAATTAGGCTTTAGGGAACCCCAAGTGGTTCCTGAAGATTTTTTCCAAGAAAGGTTTTCACGTCAACAAATTTTTTGTGCTCAAATTGTTTATTTTTATACATACTTACCATTTGAAGCACACATTTGCACTATATATTTGATGTAATGATTGTTTGATCTATCATTACATTCACAATGGTTTAGTGGGTTGTTGTCTTGGATGGAATTTGTGTCACTGTGAGACTGAGTGTGAATTGAACAAATTGACATATGCATATACAAACCAATTCACATGGTAGGTATTGGTTGTTCTTGTTAAGGGGTTCTCAAAATTTATTGCTAAATTAATTTGCGAGGGTATAATTGTGGTAGATATAGGTTAAAATTAGTGGTTGTCCAAGTGGATTTTTTAATTAACATGTTCATCCCCACTCTAGGTAATATTTAGCATCCCACGTGCTTAATCGTGAGGGAAGATCCACAATATCGCTCTCACAACAATTGGTAATAGAGCGCGGTTACCCTAAGGATTGCATTAGACACATTTTAGGCATATCTTATTTTTGCTTACGTACCTAGTTTTGTGCTTTTGAGATCTATTGTGATTACAATTTAGTTTAGAATGGATTATCAAAAAGGAGGTTCAATATAATGACCACCTCTCTTTGATGGCACCAATTATGCATATTAGAAAGCTTGAATAAGAGTGTTTGTAAAATCAATTGATGAGAAAGTTTGGTTGTATGTACAAGAGAGATGGACCCTTCCTACTGCCACTACTCTGGCTAAAGGTGTGGAAGTGGTTGTTGAATCAAAATCCCCAAAGACATGGACTAAAGCCGATTGTGACTTAGCAAGTGGAACTCAAAAGTCTTGAATGTAATATTCAATGTTGTGACACCAAATGAGTTTTAGAGGAGAGTAAATTGCAAAACCTCCAAGGAGACATGGGACATTCTTGAGGTATCCCATGAGGAGACTTCTTTGGTTAAGATGTCTCATCTCTAACGGTACATCTCATACTTTGAAGTTTTGAGGATGCAAAAGGAATAAACGTTTATCAATTTTTATGCTAGATTATGCAATATTGTCAATTCTTCCTTTGCATTAGATACCGTGATTGATGATGTTTCCATTAAATAGAAAATATTGAAATCTCTACTTGAGAGGTTTCATACTAAAGTGACCTACTTGGAAACTAGTGTCAACATGCATCAGTGTCGATTGAAGACATAGTTGGGTTTATTTTAACTTATGACATGAATCTCCTACAACCCTAGAAGGCAAAGGATGTAGCTTTAAGTTCTAGACGAGAAGAAGGAGATGAATCTGGGTCACCCCACTTAGAGAGGAGGACATAAACTATCTTGGACGAAAATTCAAAAGGTATTTTAAGGATAGTGAGTCCTCTAGGTCGAAAGGGAAGTTGAGTAGACCTAAAGCTCCTAAGGAGGGAAAAGTGAAAGGGGGAAGAATTCCTCGACAAAGGTTGAGAAGAAAAGGCAAGGCCTCCAATGCTTTGAGTGTCAAGGTTTTGGACGCATGACTTTAGAGTGCCCTAGTAGAAAGAAGGTTTTGCCAAAAGAAAAGATGAGAGCTATGAAGGCCAAATAGATCTATAGTGAAAACAAGTCCACATCAAGTGAGGACTCCTCTTCTCAAGAAGATGGAGAGAATTTCATGTCCTTTGTTGGTTCACATTCCTCTCCCCTTTGAGAAATTTCAAGAAGTAAAGTTGAGAAAGTTGAAACAAGTCCTACCACAATGGTAAAAGACTTGGAAGAAGAAGTCCCCATATGTAATGAAGACATTGAGAATTTTGAGGATAAACAAGATGCATATAGTCAATTGTATGAGCAATTGCTCAAACAACAAAGCATATTGCTAGTCTTGAGGGATAGAGTCAACACAAGTGAGAAAGACCGAAAAGCACTACATGTGAACTTAGTGAAGTCTAATGCTCATGTTTGTGAGGTTGAAGAAGAGAAGAAGTCTCTTCAAGAAAAAGTGAGCTTCCTTGAGAGAGAGTGTCATGGGCTCGTCGAGTCAAAGAAGTGTCTAGAGTCTAAGTTGATAAAATTTGATAGAGATCTTCATGAATCACAAGTACTCTTTAAAAGACAATCCCTAAGCACTGAGAAGTTAGATAAAATATTGTCTAGAGAGAAGAGTGTTGATGACAAAAAGGGTCTAGGCTATACCAATGGACACACCCCCACCATTTCTTTCAAGACTGTGTTTATGAATGGTAATCCCAACCCATCACCCTCTCGAGTGAATATAATTCCTCCAAAAACTAAAATTGTTAAGGGTAAGAACATAAATAATCAAGTTATTAAGGAAACCTAAGCCAAGTAATTTGTGTGTTTCACTTGTAGGAGCATGGTTACTATAACACACAGCATAATAAAAAAAGTCTTGAATAAGAAGCTCATGCATCTAGCCAACCAATCCAAGCTTTGAACAACTGACCAATCCGGGCTTTGAACAACACACCAATCCAAGCTCATGCATCTTTCTAAGAAAAACTCAAAAACAATTGAAAATTAGAATTTTAAAAAGATTTTTGATGTTTAGTTGGACATTCGTTTTAGGATTTTGTTTCCTTTTTCGTATTGTTGCATGCTTATTCATAATTTTTTTGTTTTTATGTTATTAAGAAAAATACAAAAATATTAGAAAAGAATATTTAATTTATTTTTCGTTGTTAATCATGGCCTTGTGGTGGTGCTGGTAGACGGTGGTGCTGGTGGGTGAGAGTGGTGGACGACGATGGGGGCTGATGTGTATTGGATGACCCTGTTGGTGGAGATGGTGATGGGTGGTGGTGGTGGCAACAGCGGCCACAGCAACATTGAGATGATATTAATAATGGTAATAAATATTAAAAATTGGTGAAAATTTCATCCAAATGATCTTTGAAGCCATTAAATATAATTATAGTACTTTTAAAGAGAAAAAACAAAGTGTGAGCGTTCTTTTTTTTGTCCTCAAATCCATTCTAATTAAAAAAATTTAAATGACCACCGTACCCTTTATATGTCCCAAACTAATTAAAAAATTATCTTTTGCACATTCTCTCTTCTGTCAATCACAGCGTAAGGCTTATACTCCTAGCTAGAAACCTCAAAGCTACGAAGATCGTTGTTATGGTTCTCAATCTTAGTTCTATTAACTCAATCCAGAGATTTGTCACAAAATTCGAGACTCTTGACTTGCCTTTGAATCTACTCGTGCAACTACAAAAATCTGTTATTGGTTTTCCTCATCTGAATATACACACTCAAATTATATGTATATATTGTTGACGTTGGAAGCTTTGAGTGGCTTGAATTCAACGAGTGACACTGTTTGTCAAGAATCCGACGCCGGAGTTGCGTCAGTGTGGGCTGTCGGTGAGCTAGTGGTGGACTATTGTGGAAGCCGCCAAATCTTACCAGCTTTGTGTTGAAAATGAAGACGAAGCCTTCTACACTGACGCTAGAAGACAGAGCTTGCCTGAGTCTCCCGTGAATAAATGTGCAGAAGCTTCAAGAAAATGGAGGAAGAAGGCGATCCCTCTTAAAGTAGGATTTTGTGGGTTTCAAGAATCTCCTCAGTTTTGACAATATTTACAGCCTAAGCCATTAGAGGTATTGCCAATAAAATTAGGGGTGGAACTCGACGGGTTGGACGGGTTGGACAATCAACCCTAACCCAACTCTAGGTATATAATTTTTAACCTAATTTTAACTCTAACCCTGCCTCGGGTTGGGGAACTCAACCTGAGCACTGCCCGAGTTTAATTCGGACGGACTCACGTTGAATTCGGGTTGATGATTTCGGATTACTTTACGGGTCAATTCGTGTAGAGTCCAAAATAAGCTTGTTGTTCTAAACCTAATACATATATTACATAATATTCACCTAAATTAACAACCAATAATTTCAACCAAATTTTTAACGAGAAAGACTGAGAGAACGAGAGAGACAAAGAGAACAAGAGAGACAGAGAACGATAGAATAAAAATGAAAAACAGTGATAATACTTTATATATATATAATTTTTTTTTAAATTTGTCGGGTTTGGGTTGAACTCGGGTTCACGAGCCCAACCAAAATTGAATTTGGGTCAGATTTTTTGACCCAAATCCAACCCAAGTATTAAAAACCCTTGCCCAAGCCCTAATTTTTTCGGGTTGGGCTCGAGTTGAAATCAGGTTGCCCAACCCAAATTGCACCCCTATATAACATAGGCAATGGATTTGCAGATTCTAGAAAGATAAATTTTTTTATTAAAATATTTATTATATTTAACATATTTATTATAATTAAAATATAAATATGTCTAAAATGTGTATTGTGGTTAATGTATTTTTGTGGTAAAAAAATTAAATATATAGAGGTAAATTTATTGTTCTTAATTTTTTACTAGTTTTCATTGTTCTTAATTTTTTACTAGTTTTCTTTAGTGAAGTTCACTTTTTATAATTTTCCTAGTTGATTATTATGGAGTATGTTGATTAGGATCTAAAGCTTAATTTTTAAGTCTCATTATTCCAATCACAATTTTTGAGTTCAGTAATCTTTTATTGTTTTTGAATTTTTACTATTTTTTACTATTTTTGAGTTCAATAATTTTTCATTTTTTTTAAATTAGTAATTTTTAACTGTTTTTTAGATTAGTAATTTTTTATTGTTTTTGAGTTCATTATTTTTAACTTTTTTTGGAAAACTAATTTTTCATTATTTTTGAGTTTACTATTTTTACTAATTTTGAGTTCACTATTTTTGTATATAAAATTTTCATCCCATTAATTATGTTTTAGTAAATAATTTTATTTTTTATTGTCTAAGACATATAAATTTGATAAAACTTACTGTTTTCAAATAATGAACTAGGAGTTTCATTCTATTAAAGTTAGTCATTTGTGAAAATTTTGTGAACTATGATTTTTATGCTATTAAATTTCACAGTTTTTTGAGTCCATAATTTATGTTTTTTCAATTTGTTGGTTTTAATATATATTTTTCAATTCAGATTTTTAATATTTTTATAGTTCACTATTTGTAAAATTTTGAACAGTGAATCAGGAGTTTCATTATATTAAATTCCACTATTTAAGAAAATTTTGTGAACTAAAAGTTTAGTTATATTAAAGTTCACTTCATTAGATTAAATTTACTATTTGTGAAAATTTTGTGAACTCAAAGTCTCATTATATTAAAATTCACTACTTATTTAATATTTTTAAGTTCAATAATTTTTCAATATTTTGTGTGGGAGGTAAGGGCGGCAATGGGTGATAGTGGTGGTGGTGGTTGGTGGCGATAGTGGGTGGGTGTGGTGGGAATGGTGGTGGATTTTGGGTGGTGGGGCGACAATGGTTGATGATGGTGGGTCTTGGGTGGTGGTGGTTGATAATGATTGTGGATGGTGGGCAGGGGTGGGGGCTTGTGATGATGGCGGTGATAATGGTGGTGGTGGTAGGCTGAGTGGTGTGTTTACACCCAAAAAATAACGCGGTAATTGTAACACAACTTTGGGGTGTTGATTCCACAGAGAGACAAATTAAAAGAATAATAGAATGAACAAATAAACTAAAGAAGAATATTAAATGACTACTAAATAATAAAGATTAATTTTAAATGCAAATTAAAGTGAAACAAGTGACTAACGGAAAAAATATTCAAATTTGACAAACAGTCAAACGTCGAAATCTCTTGCACAAATCTAGTATTTTAATTATTTTTAATTCATTGAATAACTCAATTGAGAATTTAATTTCCAAAATTTTCAACCGGAAGATATAGATTTATAAACCAAGATTAAACCCAACATAACCCTTTGAAAAATCATTCACCACTTTTAAAATACGTAAATTATTATCATTATTGAGAAAATTCAACGACGACAATATACTCAAGAAAGTAATATTACAACAAAGAATTAAATCAATATAGATAAATAATTGGTCCAAACATAATCAAAGAATTAATCCATTCAATAGAAAAAACATGACTGAATCCATAAACAGAATAAATTATATGATTATTTGTAGAAAACAATATCAACAATAAATTGAGAATGATAAAACAAAAGAGTTTTAGTACTTAAAAATCAATTGCATAAATTAAAAATAAATAAAATATCATCTATTGTGCAAATTCATCCCTAGTCTTACTTGATAATTTAATTACCCATAAATATGAGGGACAACAAAAATCTCCCAAAAGAAATAAAACAAACCGACAGCCATCGGAATTATTTCTGCTCTCTACTCTGCGTTCGTCTTCTTCTGCCCAGCCGCTGCCTTCTTTTTCCTTATCTTTTCTTTGTTCCAGCCGCCACTCCCAAGAGAAAGCATCAACAAAAGGCCAGCCCCGGCACAAAGAATAGGTTTTTAAAGTCAAAACTCTTTTCTAAAAGTTACATTTTTCTCCTTTCTTTATTCTAGCCCTTTTCACTTCAGCCCCTCTTTATTCTAGCTTTTCTATTTCAGCCTCTAAAGTCCAACTCTTGTGTAATTTGAGAAAGCTAAAGTCTAATAAAAATTATGAGTGTTGGGCTCACGTAAAAGATGTATCAGTTTCAGCCTTTTTACTCCATGGACTGCTATCAAAATAAAAACAAATATAAAACCCGAATAATAAAGTTCTAAAAATATTAAATGTAAAACCCAATTGTAAATTATTTTTCACCAACCAATAATGCAATATTTAAGACTTAAAATATTATAAAATCATGCTCAATTATATCTCAGTGTGAATAGATATTAAATTCAATAATATAAATTATATAATTATTTATATTCATATTTTAGCAATTTAATCCAATAATAAGGTATTTAAAATGCACTTTCGCGTACTCATCACACCCCCCAACTTACTCATTGGTAGTCCCTAGCAAATTTTCATGCCGAAACAATGAAAGAAACTGAAGAATATCACACACAAAGGCTACCAAGTCACATTTTTCAGATTTACATATCAAAACAATCTTAGAAATTCAATAACTCCATCACAAACAATCTACCTGAAGCAATCCACAGAGTGTGTGTGTGTTCCAAAATATATCCATCTAACCAGAAACCCTGACACATGTAACATCAAGAACATCTCAAGCAAAAGATTCAACTCCATAACTCACGGGTATAAAAGTGTTTCGTGTGGAGATTCTCTCTATAGAGTTGACAATGGGTGTGCACACACTCTCATGGGGAATTAGGCAATTTTGTACAAGCAACAAACAAACATTGATCTTATGATAGGAATACTAACAAATGAGACTTCCACCATGCTTTCCCAAAATCTTACTTAGGATCAGAACGGTAAACACAAAAGGTTGTAATGTGGCTTAGGTTTTGAGGCTATATAAAAAAATGGAAAGGATTCAAAAACTTCCAAGTACATACAGAGGGAATCTTGTTAAATCTCTCAATAAACTATATTTCTCACTTGATGTACTCTTCAACCTTTCAAGTCATCGAATAATGCCTCTTTTTTTTTTTTGTAGAAGAAATTTGGTGAACAATTATGTCACCCTGGCATTTTGCTATTTTTACCCAGCCTTGGCTTTTGTTTTGTTTTTTTTTTTTTAACTCACTCACTTGAACACCTTGTAACTCATGTTCTTCCCTTTTATCTCTCTATCTCCTTTTTTTTTTTAAAAAAAAGACTTCCACATCTAATACACACTTGGAAGTAACAAGGGTAAGTAAAATCAGTGTATAGGTTACACTCCAATGTGGAGAGGTATGGATAATGTAGGCATATGAAAAGAAAAAGATACATGTGTTTATTGACTCAAAGTTGGCTATTAGGGGTTTAATGTGAAAAGGGTTAGCTTGAAAGGCTCAAACGTTGATTCTAAGTTGACCTTCGTCATATCCCAAGTATATCCACCATCTTACCACAAACCATGTAATGATATTCTCAAAAGAAGTACCCAGTTCAACAGATCAATGACCGCTTATCACAATTTACTGTAGTTGTAGGCTCTCAATCCTCTCCAAAACTCATGTGAATACTTAAGCAAAAGAGCTCTCTATCAACATGTGTCAAACCACCATCTTACCACAAAGCTTGGATGAGTGCATTAGAGGTTCTGTGAATGCTTCAGAAAAAAAATTGATTATGATGGTTTTGGAGAATTCACAAAGATAGCTATGAATGAGAATAAGTACACATGTGAAAATGATGCACGTGTGAATTAAAAATATTTCACACATGAAAATATGCCACAGAGTAACAAGAAGCATTTTAAATATTGAATTTACACTACCATCCACCCCCCAACTTAAATGAAACATTGTCCTCAATGTTTAAGAATTAAATTTGAATGAAGAGTAACTAAAAAATGGTAGAATACACCTGATGAGTGATGTGGGTAGTTCGTTAAGCACCAAAGATGGTAACCTGACATGTCAAAATCAAACTAACCTGCTAATAAAAATAAAGAAAACAACATCAAAAATAAAAGGAAAAATAAAAATAAAATAAAACAAACAAAACAAATAAAAAAAAAACATACATGCGTGGTGTGGTCAAGGTTGATAGACCGGATCCTCAAGTGGAATATCTTCCACTTCTGGAACTTGCCTATCAATTAATATTTTAAGTCGTT